AGTGAGAATGCTGAGTAAAAAGCTTGGAGCTTGAGTCACTACAGAAAGTTCTGGAATACTGGTGAGAGTACTCGCACAGGCTTGCTGCTTCCACAACCCAAATCTCAACAACGAAGTCCCATTTTAACGAGTCTTGAACTTGGGCGACATCAATGTCACTAACAACGACGATGGTCACGTTCTTTATACTTACGTCGCTCATTGGCAGGGTCTTACACCTTCCCAGGTGATCATTCCACAGCTTTACATGGACTTTCGAGGTTCAGAATGACCTTTGGACAAATTTAAAAGAAAATTCCCCAGGTTCAAAATGGATGCAGGAAGGGAAGGCGAATCTTTTGGTAAAACAATCCAATCAAGCGGAATAACCACCCCACACTACCCAGTCTTACCCTATTTGTACCGAGCTCAAGGCCCTGTTCTGGAAGTTTCAACCACCAAGTGGTTGTTTACTTAGGTCTTTTCTTTACCGCACCTTGTCATCTCAGATACGAATAGACGCCACGGCTCTATCGGAACCGCTTTTTCACGCCGCGGCGACCTCCAGACTTCAAATGACGAGTACAAACTACTCTTCCCTTTGCACGAAAATGGATTGAAATTCAGCTTGCTTGCCATACCAGTTTCTATCTATCCACTGCACCCGTTTCCGGTTCCATGGACCTCTACTACTGACAGTCCCCCCGTCCTCGAGAAAGTCCTCAGCAATTTGGGAGTGAAACTTGGACTGGACCTGATGCCCAAGCTCGTGCGCAATCCATTGCACAGTGCTCTGGGCACCAGAATCCGGATGTGAATTTGTCTTCAGTGAATTGGATGAAGATAAATATCATGTTGGTCCACTCAAAATTGGATACTTCCGCAGAGTTTGATGACACTGACACTTCGAGTAGGAGCCATGATTACGGAAAGGCGGAGCTTATTCTAGATTAATCTTGGCCTAGATCTCTGTTTGACTCAAATTGCTTTGAGCATACTCTTTAAGCACCCATTTCAAGGAATTGATATTATTGGGAAAAGCTTACGCGACATGTGAGGTGATTGATAGCGTTACGGGCAGATTGGGCTGAGTAGGTCTTTGAGACGCAAAACTTTACAAAATAATCATATTAGGAAACTAATCTCGAGCTCAGCCCCAATTTATATGGCCTTTCATGAATGTATCGATTACAGTCCCTCAGGTACAACGACATGAGAAGGGAAACAACAACTTCCTCGCTGGACACTCGGTAGTTTTATATCTCCGGATGAAAGTATTCAGACTGTGTAATGGCATAAACAAAGGCTTTGTTCGCTTTTTGGTTCGAAACGATTCTTTTATCATTCACATGACGACATCTCTATGTTGTCCGTACCGAACGGAATTAGTTCGCTTTGAGATTATTTTTTGCCTACCATGTATTTCATTTTCGATGACATAAACGTAGATTTTGTACGCGCGCCAGTTCATTTTTGCTGTCAAATCTCGTAATTTCGTGCCTGCGTTCAACTTTGATGGGAAGGCGGTCTCGTAAGAGGGTCGCTTGAGTAGGCCACTAGTACTGGCATGGATACTAACAACCATCAGGGAACTTGATACGGTGCGATCATTACTTTATAATAAGTGAATAACTAGTAATTAGCTATGAAGGTTGGAGAGGCACATAACAGCGTTGACCTAGAGAACTCAGCCCACTGAGGCAGAGATTCAGAGGGCATGGAAACAGGTAGGCTCTTTGCCGATTACTTTTCATCGCCGAGGGTTCTCATCAAAAAAAGGAACAAGGGCTCCGGGATTGGAGCTCCAAAGCCGTGCCTGGTTCTGACCACCACTAATCGACTTTATTGAACGGACGGCTCTTTCAACAGATATGTTTCAATACTGATTCACAAATCTTCGACCTTGTTACTGTACAGTCCTTATGTCCGTACTTTACAGCGTCGAACCACTCAAACTCGAGTCTCAATTATACGGATCCGTAAACCCTTTCAGAACCCGAAACTTCAGCCCAACAATCCGGCACACAAACGTCGCCCTCGTACTGCTCACAAGTCCCCACCACGCAGTCTCCGTCCGAATATCAGCCTCCAAAACCATGGTGCTCACAAAGCTCAGAAACAGGTTGCTCCCACCCGGGATAGGTGCAGCAAATCGAACCCGATACTCCCAACTCGAATTCGTTCCCGTGCTTGAAGAGCTGAAATCAGCGAATCCACTTTTACTGGCCCATTCAAGGTTGCATTTTCGACAACGGCGTAGACTGGTTCGCGCTCAAAGGGCATACCGACGACGGTGGTGATGATGTAAGCTATCCAATCGACAATTTCGGAGACGGGAATGGGGATGTTTACGGGGATAGCTCTTGGGGAGGAGGGATCATTGCTGCTGATTTCGAATAGATCTGCGCTTCTTGCGCTGCTGTCAGAGCCCATACGCCGGTGGCCCTGGATGGGGATAATAACGAGATCGGTTCGCCCATAGTTCAAGGCGGCCTGTAGGAAAGAATCCCAGTCAAACCATTTGGGATTGCCGATGTGGAGGTAGTGGCTGGCAAACTTGGAGACTTGGAGGGCGGTTGGGACGTGATCGGGGTTGATTCCCGATAGAGAGTCGAAAGGCGTGTCTTCTATGGATGAATGAGGTCAGATGAGGGGAGACTTATTACGCTCTGAAGTGGATTACCTGTACCATCGACATTCTGCTTGGTAAGTGCTCGCTCATTTTCATTACTAGCAGGGCCAGGAGTTGAGGTTAGCAACTAGATTCGGGAGGTGAATAGGGAGAAAGCTGTTACTTTGCAATCGACATCCTGGAGGTCCGGTGAGGGATGGGGTCTGCGTAGCTTCAAGGCTTTTATAACGACTCTTGCGGGACCCACGATTCCGGGAATGTGGTAAGCTTTCCTGTCAAAGTCAGAACTCAATCTGCAGGGACCTGAGTTTCTACACGTCCACCGGGGATGTAAATTACCGGTCCTCTCAAATCCCCGCAGTGGGTCTTCGGAGCTACATCCCCCAAAACCTTAATTACTTAATTTATCTTCTTTGCGGTGGTAATCGGCACAATCAACCTTTGTGAGCCCTTGACTCTCGCAAAAAACACACATTGCAAGGCCAGGAACAGACCCCCGTAACAAGGCTTCGAACATCCCCTTCTTTACCGCGTTTTCGCGACTTGACGTTGGGATATAAGAATCAATAATGTTAGCCGCTACACTGTTGGGGGGTTTCAGTTGTGAAGCTCTGGGTAAAATGTCCAATTAAGGAGGTGGATTGAAATTTGCCTGTGTAATCGCGTGTTCCCCTCCCTTCCCCTCGACGGTTGTGCCGGAGCTGCCGCCCAGACATCATCAAAATCATACAAATCAATGTCCACCTGGTGGTCGTATCGAAATAGCCTATGGAAAAATCCGTACGGCGCGTATCCTCTCTTCCCTATACGTAACACGTACTACGGTGTCAAACGATCTTTTTCTCCAGCCGCCGTTACCTGCCCTATGAGACATTCATGACAATGGGAGCCCGGAACCGAATGTACTATTGCCCAGCACCCGTAGCGGCGCCTTCATTCGGACAAATACATCATAAATTGCTGAGATGGGCGAGCAGAGGTGCCGATCTTGTCCACTCATATTCTTTTTTGTACAAAAATAAATTGTTCAAAGGAGTGGTATAAGCTGATCTTGAAAAAAAAACGTGAACGGGTCTCAAAACGGGGTGTATAGTACGAACCAGAGCCCTCTTTGAGTAAGATCCCTGCGGGGGTCTGTAACAGACATTTAAATAAACTACTCATCACGTTTTCTCTGGTTAACGACATTGTCGCAAGTCATGAAAAAGCTCAGAGAAAATGAAAAATAACGTGGTAAGGAACTGCCACAAGTTGGTTGTGAATACGTTCAACATTAATTAATATTCATTTTCCGCCCCCTAGGGCAGACATATTTTACAGTCGAGGGTCTAAAAAGAAAAAAAAATATTCCTGCCCTGAAATTCCGTTACAGGGAATCGAACCCTGAGCTATCGCGTCCATAGTGACTTGGCTAGACACATATGAGAGGCGATAATGTTAACCATTACACCATAACGGAGGTAGCTGTAGGGGAAAAATGGGCAATACAGCTAGTCAAAAATCTTTTGGAATTTCGTTGGGATAAAGATTACTCCAAGAGGAGAGCATGTAGGCTATTTTCTCCGACGATGATCTGTGTTATGAACCGAAGAAAAACTTTTCCCAAATCTTCTTCTAAGGCCCTCGACCTGTAAATGTAGGATAAGCGCTAGATTTGGCGTTCTGTTCAGCTAGAGGGATAAACCGACCCTGAATTTAGTCAAAACTACATCATACTAATAGCTGAGCGACTCGTAACTGGGGTCCCAGTAAGTAAGACCCTTTTTGAAACAGAACTTATCGCAGAACATCCGAATTCGCATCTGAAGAGCACATAGATGTATCAGGGATTATAACAAAGACAGTTCGCAAGGGAACCGCTCGAAAAACCGCTACCGCGAGTCTTTACAGCGCATATCATTAGAACGTCCCCTCTCTTCAATGAGCAACGAAATTAGTAATCGATAAAACCTCCCCCGAATCCGCATCCACATAGACCTCCAACAATGCCCCACCATCACTGGGCTGGCTCTGAATCTGTACTGAATAAACTAACGCAACAGATCCGTCCTGTCTCGCTAAATAATACAACGCAGGTGTAACCCCATTGTGGCTCCCACCACATTTAGATTCGGCGTTGGAGATGGCTTCAGCTGCGGTTAACTTTGGCGTCGACGCGGCAATCTTGGCTGGAAACAAGACGTAAAGCGCATAGTAAGCTTCTGGCAAACCGCAAGGGAAGAAAGGCAGCGCTCACAAGGATCTTTAACATCCACAAACGAACTCCCAAAACTCGTCACTTTGTTATTCATCAGCGACACGTTCGCGACTGCATTAACAAACGGGATTCCATTCTAGGGGAAGAAAAAGTCACGAAACAAGGTTTAGTTACGACTTCATGGGAGAAAGAGAAGAAAAAAGCGTACGTAGGCTTGCCTAACATACCCAGCAGAAACTCCCCCATCATTTGAATACCCAGAAGTCCATTCCACATCGTCTTTTTGGATTCCTAAATAGTCCGATACCCAACTGATCACGACTGATCTGAAGCTTCCGTCATCTGAAAAAGAGGAGGAATCCGAGGAAAGAGGCAGGCCTTCTTTGAAGGTCTTGTCATCCGTTGTCAGTAGTAGAATCAACACGGAAGGACTGGAACGCACCTCAAATTTCGTTGGCGGATGATAGTTCTCCGTCTGCAAACCTTGGTAACTTGGATTCACATTTTGAGTTGTTGATGGAGCGAAGGACGGAGCGAAAGACATTATAGAGGGTTTTGAGCAATCAAGATGGAGGAAAACGCTGAAGAGCGATGTAGAGATGGAAATCTGATGACGGTATGAAGAGAAACGAGGTCGGCCTTATGAGGATGTAATTACTGCGGGACGGCGGCAGTTGCCGTGCGGTAATCCGGGTTTACCGGTACTTACGGGACTATGACGTTACACGATGGGTCCAGTCTGTCTGCATTCGATCTTTGAAGACATCGAAGCTCAATTCATGTACAGTCAACTTGTAAGTCTGCATGATATTCTTATTATTTAGATGTCTTCCACTCCATCTCTCATCGGGAACACGCATAATACTCATTTCTTTCATATCGCCATTTGCATAGATGAATATGACATGTTTGCGAGAGAAAGACAGATTCCACGAATGTCATGAGGTGAAACCTTCGCCTTCAGTGTTCTTAACGAGCCTCACCCTCCTTCTGCCAGATCCTTCGTCAAAAGAGTCCCATAATCGAAGGGACATGATCTCAAAAGTCCGGAACTCTAACTGACATTACTTCATCCTCATCTCTCTCTATTTCCGTTATCAGCATCGTCAGGGTTATTACAAAATAAGAACGGTCGGGCCTCACCTTCGCTAGTGCTTAATCCACAGCTACCTTCACCGTCGTCGTTTCGAGGAGAGGACACCCTTATCATTTATACACTTCATTGTCCATTTGTTTCCCCACGAGGCTATCTTGCACGAATCCAATCATACCCTGAATGTGTCCATTTTCCAGTTTGATATGGAGTCTGATATGGTCCATTTCAGGTGTAGAGTTGGGCTTCAGGGTCAAGAAAGGAGCATACATATAGCAATGGAGCTCAAACCAGGAAGATGGTTAACACACTTTTCTGTCCAGACTTTCCATGAGGCTTTTGTTGACCTGTGGGTGCCGAGTTGAGAAGTCAAGATCCCAATGTCTGCAATACTGTAGAGTTTAAGCACCTGTAATAGAAATAACTGACAATAAGCCCATAGCATAAGAGATGAATAAAAAAATACACTAATGTTGATCAGTATTGGAGTCAGATAGAAATTCAGTGTAGAATCAAGATTTTGTGGGTTTGTGATGGGGGAGCTGGAGAGGGTGGAATGGGTGGGAATATGGGCTTGCCATCAACTAATTCAACATTAGGAATGTTGTCACTCATGAGGTAAGGTTGAGCCATTTGAGCACACACATCCATCTTTGTCAATTTGACAGGCGCCCATTCCTCCATCATATTGAATCCTGGATTGGATGTGTCTGGGTCTTTTTTTACATATTCCACTCCCAAGCAACACTCCAAATAGAATTTCTAACCACAAATAAAGATTGAGAATCTACATAACAGAGATAAGAGGAGGTTTTCTACTCACAGCTAGAGAATACACATTCATTAGCAATGTTTACCCTGTTATTAAATCAAGTGTTAGTATGGTCACTGAGATTGAAACATACACATACATTTCTTTCATTGACTCCTGTTGAACAGGAGATCCTGCTCCTGTTTGGTTTGGTCAATGATTCCTGTAACACAGGGTGGGCTCTTCTGATGATGAAACAATGCTTGATGGGGTGAGAAAACTTTTGGATGTTAAAATGTATAGACAGAGACAACTCTCTCTTCATCTACTTGGTAAGTAGTTGACTTGTATTGCCACATAACTATGTGTCTATTGCATTATTGGAAAGGTCCATTGGCATCTCAAAAGCCAGAGTTGGTGGCTTGTAAACCAAGATGTGGACAGAGTTGGGAATGAAGCATGTATGGATCTCAGAGATCCATTGTGATTGGAGAGTACCTGGTATGCAGATCAAATGAGGTAGAGGCTCTATTGTGTAACCATTGATATTTGAGCTTTTCTATGAACAAAGGTTAATGATCACTGCCGAATTTAGGCTAGAAGAGGAGATAGTCACAAAGAATTGGAGGTAGGTGCCCTTTGACTGTTGAAGCTGAAGGTCTTGAATGATAAATGATAATGTTGCCAGACAGAGAGTTGTTTTTCCAAGCCTGACCTTATCTGCTATAAGCATACCACTTGTTGATGCCATAGTTGGGTCCTCATGAAATGTGTTCTGAATGATAGACATCAAACCAGCAAGCTGATGCCAGTGAGCTTGTAGATCCTTGATATAAGGTGCATATTTCTGGGGGGGTAAAGATACTGGAAGTATCCCAGGGATCTAGACCCATGCTGTGGCTTGTTTGTTGAGCCAGAAGCTTTGTATCAGGAAGCCCCAGCATGCATGTGCGACACTGAGAATCCTTATCTGCCTTGTATTCCATCCCAAGATCTTTGTTAATTGCTGCAGCCAAAGTGAGATCAAGGATGGACTGACTTGTTGATGTGCTGGGCATGACATTGGGAAAAATGAAGTTTTCACAGAAGAACTTAATGAATTATCATTATTAATTGTGCTAGTGAGTAATCAAATAGCATTGAAAGTGTACCAAGTTCAACTAGGAACTGGTCTCCACAGACACTTGTGCCTCTAGCTGGAAATGCTGGTCCCTTGACTCTGTGTAGAGTCAAAAACCATAAAACAAAGATTCGACTAGCACTAGGACAGCAATCAAAAATAAGTTGGATTGGACTGTCTGCCGGTGAATTGGCAGGGATTTGAGTCCATAACAGACTCAGGCAATACACCGGCACTCCAAAAATCAGTGAGAGACTTCCACGTAAAACAATGGAGATGATCACCTGGTACCATCAAAACTTCTGCAGAGTGTTGAGGACAGACTCACAAGTTGAGGATAAGGAGGGCACAAGATATTATTGGATAAAGGTTGCCTATGCAACTGCCAGCTAAGAAGGAACAAGGATACACCAATAACACACAGGAATAAGCCAATCAGAAGAAGGATGGAAAAGCCTGGGCAAGATAGGAGATAAGGGTCAGGAACAAGTAAGATCTGGACTTCCATGGAAGTCAATTGTCAGGCACACTTGGACCTGGAAGTGCCAAAACTGACCAAGCATCCTGGAGAATTGAGGCTGGAAGTTAAATTCAGACCTAATCAGGCTAGATTTGTGCAAAGTCTTTGGATGACAGATTCTGCAGAGACTAATAAGCTATTACAAAGAGCAAAACTGGGGCAAAGTATATGAGTAGGTAGAACCATAGTACAAAGCTCAAGGACTGACACCCCAATCCATAGCCAGAGACTATAGCAGTTGACATCTGCATAATTGAAATCTAACTCAAAAGATGCTATATGCGAGTGGGGTTCTGGCATTGTCAAAGGTTCCATGCAGAGAAATCTAACTGAGCATGAGATACACCAAATAATAGACTTAGAACTTAGTCTAGAATGGGGTGTGGGGTTATATAAGCTTAGGTAGACTGGAAAACAGTCAAGTAGAGACAGAAAACAGCAAAACAGAGTCAGAACGATGTCTATAAGAGACTCAAACTGGTATATGACAGATCAGAACAGAACAGCACAGTCAGACAGAGTCAGAATGACCAAACAACCACTCAGGGATGC